TTGGTTGTAGACTGGGAATAGAAGCTGAAACATACTATTAGAGAATCCCTCATTTCGAATAGTCAAGATCGCTAAAGATAACCGCAAAATTACACATTCCCGGCATTGAAACTAACCATAGAACCATCAGCTTTAGTGCTAATCAAAGTCACAATTAGATTGTAAGCCAGGGAGCAGAGAATTCAGAAAATGGTAATAGCATTAATATTTTATCACATTTATATTTAATAATCACTTGTTAACTGATTCATAAATTACTAGACATTCTTGGACTATTTCTACCTATAGTAATTATTTACTACCCACATTCCCCTTGCATTCCACTCTCGTACGATTTAAGTTACAATTCGTTCAACTTGTTCTTCAATCCAAGCGAAGCATTTGCCAACTGAGTAAATAAAGAACTCAGTAGAAATTTCCTGTGTTTGAATTCATTGTCGTCGACTAACACACGAATGTGACTAACATTAGATATCTGATGAAGACATTGTTCGAATGCAAGTAGTCCCATGGATGCTCTTGTATGTACCGGAATAGCTTCTGCATGCGTTTTGATAGCCATATCAAAGTTGTCTATGGATGCTTGTACTGAAATGCCTAAGAAGAAAATAAGAGTGAAGAAAACGGTTGTGACTACCTGAGTGTATGAAGATAATTAGTCGTGAGTATTATTATCGCGCTGTATGAAATGGTCAAAAGATTCCTCGGAAAATGTCTTGCTACCCCTTCGGCTCCTCTGAAAATCTTTAGAAATGATTCTCGATCGTTTTTCCACGTATAATATGCTTGAAATGGGAATGTTGCGATTGAGGTCCTAGATATCGGACAGCATAGTAAATAAACAATACTTCTCAGCTTTAATGGCATTACTAAATTTAGACGAACCATGCTACTCCAGATAGTCCATAGTTTGCAGGCTTGTAAAACTTGCTCCATCGAATGCGTTCGGCTTCTAACCTTTCCGCGGCTTCTTTTGAAAACTGGGCCAACTTATGTGCCTCAGTAGAGAGGTCCTGTAGTTGAACTATGAACGAATGAGATCATATCACAACCGTAAAGAGTCGCAAGATATTATCAAATTATTAACATCTGATTACCTTCGGATCTATCAAGCGAGACATTTCTTACCGCTTTCTCAAGTCTCTCAAGTGTGTCAGTTATATCTTTAACTTGGTAGTGTTTCCGAGGAACGAAAGCCATTATCATTGGATTCATATTTGCCAGTTGCCAGTATGAAAAGTGTAAATGATGGAGTGCCTGTATAACATGCACCATTCTAAATACTAGCAATGGGAATGCATCAAATATCTGAAGAAAGCATATTACTTCGCATGAGTATGTAACAAAGGAGCCACGAGTTTGACTAATTGAATATTAAGGATCGGACAAAGTACCTCATCATCAATAATTACGGCCTTTCTATCTTCAATCAACGTATTAATAGCTTCAATGAGAGGATTACATACATCTTCTTCAAACCAATACTTTTTAATCGAAAAGGCAACAACAGGCGGCTGTTCGCTGTCTCTTTCAACTGTGAACTTTGGTCCAGGAAATAGACAATCAAATGCTGCCGTTTGGTTGCCTTTGAATACGTCATTAATGGTTTGACTCAATAGCTTTATGTCAAATGCGTCGGCAAATGTTCGAAGGTGCTTTTCTTTCCTTTTGACTCGTGACAAGAACTCGTCAGGTATCAATGGATCAATCAAGACATTATATGATTGTCTATCGCAGGGGATCCAGTCATCGAAACCGTTTACAGTCAAATTTCCTACGATAAGATTTGTACGAAGAGTATCTATGAGGACTTCACGCGATATGACCGAAACGTCAAAAGAAAACTTGATCTAAACTCAGTTTTTAATGGCCAAAAGTGAAGTTTACGGTTTGGTATATTAGGTCGAGATCACAAGTTCAGCACAAAGCCGTTCTAATTGCATTCTACAAGTTTAGCAAAAAGATATATATGCTCATACCCTGGCTTCATGTCTTATATACTGCTTGTCGTCATACTCTTGTCTTCGATCTCTAACCATTCGACTTTTTAGCACAATAACGCTCGCAGTTGCCGAGAACAACGACTCGAGCGTCCGATACACGACAACTGACTCACGCTACATTCATTCATACATTATAAATCAATACTTTTATTTCACACCAACGCTTGACCATAGTAGTCACAAAATACCGTGAGATTGTAGATCTCAAATATGGCGTGTTGGCGGTCAGCATCGTCGGCGTTGTCTTCAACCAAGTGGAAACGGTCGCAAAAGAATATTATTGGTCTTATGAGACTGTGAAGGCATTTGGAACTTGGTCGTGGAGTAAGGAAAAGCATTATACGTGATTGTCAAGGTGACATTTGACGCAAGAAGTTGAAATTTATCTCCAAGTCCATTGGTCACAAGGCCAACATTACAAGGAGAGTTGATTAACAATTTTTGACATGCAGCCATCATCTTTGACAATAGAATTTCAATTGTGCAGTACCTCCGATTGGCCGTATCTACTATATTGTTATGAAAGCTAATTGACTGTATTTTTTGAACGACGCTGTATTTGCTGAAATGATGATATTAACAGATTGTATTTATTTGATACGTGATAGAATTCTCCTGATACTTGACATCAGTTATAAATGCAAATTCAAGAGATACAGTAATTCACAATCGATTGTTGAAGACATTTACCTCTCTACATTAAGACTGTCATTATAAAGAGGTGCAATTTAGCAACGAAATAGTTATTATAGTCTTACAAGTCGTGAAATGCCCAGCAGTAGTACGCGTATTTATGGTGTGACACATTGCCCATGCCGTAGGAATCGTTGTTAAATTTTAGCCTTATCTTTACGCGTAAGCATTTGCTACTATTCTTAGCTTTGACCACCTTTGCTGAGGAATTGTAATTAATGAACGAGATCATATGTAGTCCGGTGGAAGTTATCCCGATGATCCCGATGGTACCGAAAACATTAATGAAACCAGTAAACAAACATCTATTTCAGGGGCAAAGCGTTGATTAAAATAATCAATAAACGTTCTTCGAATCTCAACGTCTCTCACATGAACGTTGCCATCTCGTTAATTGGTTCAGTTTAAAGGAAACAGTTATACCCTCGGATTATTTATTTCATTCAGACTACAGTAGTACCATAGAGCAAAACCGATGAAACACGCGTAAAGCATGCAGCCCAGAGCAAAGCGAACTTTTGAAGAACAAACCTTTAAACATTGAATTGTCCAGAAGCTCGCGCAGCAATGTGTAATAGCTAATTTAGAAAACACTATAATGATGCGATGCACAAAAAAAGGTGACAGAACGGCAATAAGCATAATCATGATGATGTGATTAATGATATGAAAAGTAAACCTCAGTTTTGCCACACCATTTAACAAAAATGAATAACGGGGAATATCATTTTTATTATTCACTTCGACTTAATTGTCAAGAGCGCCCTTATTTTTAAAACCCAAATTGTTTAATTCGCGTTTGTTTCATTCCCACAGTAAAACTAAACTACTATGTAATACGAATAAGCGGAAAATAATTTCGCACGCCGTAATGACTGCATGGCATTACACTCGCTATGAATTATACAACTTTCCAAATTAAAATTGCTTGTGTGCTTTACATTCAAAAATATGATAGGAATAATATATATATGACTCTCCAGTGTTTTTTCACTTGATGAATTGACCAACAATGTTATCAGCCGATGCATTAACTTTCCCTAATTTCTTCAGTTCTTTCGGATTGCCAGACGTTCTTGCTTTGTTGATAATTGTCTCTGTGCTATACACAATCAAATTCTATGTCTCTTACTTTAATAGAGACAATGCACTTCCTGGTCCACTCCCATTACCTATAGTAGGCAATCTCCTTCAATTTGCCATGTATGGTGACATGGTATTATGGGTCGATGTTCTCCATAAGAAATATGGTGACTTGTGGGAATTGTATATGGGATCCGAAAGACACATATGGGTCTCTAGAGCTGATTTGGTTGACAAATTGTTTAGCACGTCAACAAAGAGTAATTTCAAATATAGAACAAAAGGGAATAGAGCGCTCGCCGAAATTAAACTGTTAGACCACGGAATTGGTATGAATAGAGATCTGAATCTTTGGGCCTTTAATAGGAAGATGATGAAACTCGTGATGACGTCGAAAGAGTTTAATGAATATGTTCTTAAAATCGTGCCAAAGATGGTCAACGAAATGGAAACATATTGGACCAAGTTGGGATATATAGAGGATGCGCGTCAAAATGATTTGAATGACAATGTCAATACGAATGCAACAGTCGGCGATGTTAAAATAATTAATCTTCCGGATTGGTTCTTTGCGTTAACTCTAGACGACATACTGCACATATCTACCAACAAACACGGTTGCGCTCTAGCATCTCTCCTTCTTTCTCACTCACCAAATTCCGAAATACCTTATTCGCCTGAAACTATGAATTATGCCAAAGAATTCCGCGATTCTTGGGCGACATTCATGGAGAGCATAAGCACGGCCATATTTATGCCTGATCTTGTTAGGCTGGGAACTCCAATTGGTTTGATGAAAAGAAGGAAATATCTGAAAAATTCACATTGGTTAAACAACAATCTGTTGTCGATGATTAGAGAAAAGAGAGCCGAGATTGAAAACGAGGTTAACGATGATAGCTCAAAGACCAACTATGACATTCTGAGGTTATTACTGGTTGCCAATACCCCTCGTGGACATGTCGTGAAAAGGGGTTCGGATGAAACGGACAAACCGATGAGTGATGACGAAGTTAGAGGGTTGCTGTTAGAAATACTTGTAGCGTCTGTAGAAAGTGTAAGTATTTCAGTATTCACGTTTTTTACAGTGAAACACGGCACACATACGCGATCCAGAATTAATTGCTCAACCCAATATTGTAGTCTGCTAGTCTCATGTGTTTTGTCATCTATCTTGTCCGTCACAACCCGGAAGTTAAGAAGAAAATACGGGAGGAAGTCGATCCTTTGTTCAAAGACAACCCAAATGGAATACTGCAGCTCGATGATGTGAATAAAAAACTTGATTATCTTGAAGCTGTCATCAAAGAAACCACGCGGATTTATCCTTCTGGGCCCATTAATCAAAGACTTTCTTCACAGGATGATGAAATCGGCGGATATAAGTGGAAGGTAACTTGAAACCGAGACATACATATACAATTTAATGTCTTTGTTTATATTAATATCAGTTAATATTTAGGCAGGAACACAGTTTATGATAGACGTGGTTGGTATTCACAACCATCGAGCACACTGGTCTAATCCCGAAGAATTTAAGCCTGAGCGGTTTCTTTCTCAGTCTAAAGATATTGTTCCAAATTCTATTCAAACATTTGGGGGAGGACTGCGTATATGCCCTGGTAAACAGTATGGAATGCTTTTTACAAAGATCGTCCTGGCCTCATTATATAATAGATATGATATAGAGTTGGCTAATGAGAATGAAAAGCCAGTGGCTGTATATAGGATTGCACTTCATTGTCATCGATTGAGGGTGAAATTGAAGAAAAGAAGCGTCATTTGAGAATAATTTGGGGGCATCCAAATGGGTTGCTTCCCTAAAATTTCACGTCAAATTATGCAATAAAAATATATAAGTCGGTTTTAACAATCGCATTTTTCAGTGAACATAGCGTTCTGATACACCGGAGCGGCAAATTCGAAAAATTTAGAATGTCTTCCTCGAACACAGATTAGTCAAAGGATAGGTCCATTCTGTGCGAGTAGCTACATCTACACAGTTAAGCGCAAATTTATAGACTTTTCCCCGAAATTTATCATGCATAAATCAACTCGTGTTAAAACTCGCGCCTATTTCCTCTCACGTCAGCCAATGAGAAATTGTTTCCGGTTTTCTTCCAAGCATCACGCAATTTTTCAGCACGATAACAACCCTGCAGGCTATAATATATTTTTCTAAGCTCAATAGCAATGTCGAGTCTACGTGCTATTTTGGGATCGATAGAAATAATGGGAACGTTACTTGCCATTTTTTGATCTCAACTATAATAATGAAAGACAATTTGCTGAATCCAGCATTTGTGCAACAGAAGTTAAATCGCGAGGTAGATATAAATCGTACTACAGTTGACACTGTTTATACCGAACTGCCCGGCTGAAGAGTTTTTGTTTCACTATAACCAGAGTTCGCTATTACCAGATATATCACGTGATATGTTATTGTAGTAAATCTTGAGCGATTTGCTCATTTATTCAATAATTATCCTTCAAAATAGTAGCATTTTTTAC